GCTTTAAATGTTTTTCTTTTCATGCCATTAGAAATAAATAAATCAAAAACAGACAGAGGCCCCAACCTATCACTAAGATAACTTTAATGTCTTGAAAAAGTGGCCGATGAAGCCTCTGATACTCTCTTATTAATACTATTGTACCTACTTTTTTGTAAAATACAAATCGCATCTTTAACGGCAATAATAATTGAAAACTGAGGTTTTTACCAGCAAAGATTGAACATAAAGATGGAAGATTGAACTGAATAAGCAAACTTTTTGAAGTCCTTTCAAATCACTTTCTGTTGGATCAAATTGACGCCGAAAAATAGCCCCAGTTTCGAAAACAGAGGGATGAACTGGCTTGTTATTACCGCTGAAGCGTCAGTTGTTAAGCATTCAAATAGGAAGTAATCATGCATTTCCTCTACTGTTTAGGCACCTTGCCACTTTTTTTTGGAAGATTCACCTCGTGTTTTAAAGTAATATTGAGTCGGTGTTTCTTCTTTTTCTACGGAGCTTCTGTGAAAGTATTTTAGAAGAAAGGAATGATGCTGTTTCTAATTTTTTGACGCTTGAGTCCATTCCCATTTATTTAAGTAAAATTAATTTTTTTTTTTTCAAAAATACAAGTTATTATTTTTTTTTTTTTTAAACAAGTTCACACCATGCTCTCTCATTGTATATAAGTTAGTACCACTTTAATGAAACATTACGTCGACATTTAAAATGTAAGAATATGAATAAAAGTATTATCTTTAATGGAAAAAAGAAAAAAATCACATGCACCTATCGCAACTTAGGAAACGCTGAATTTACGGTTATAAAGAAGGGGGAGGGGGAGGGGTTAATAAAGTAAAGTATGAATTTTGGTCAAAATGAGTATAAAGATGCAATTAATGGTACGTTTCATGATTAATTTAACTTTGTCAGCTGAAAAAATCGTCATGAGACAAAAATACAAACTTTTGAAATTTTCGCGTTTTTAGCCGATTTTGAGGATTTTTAGCAAAAATTGGGAACGCATGATGACATGAACAAAATTTTTTCTTTAAAGTACCCTAACATATGCTCTTACTGTGAAATTTTCAGAACCCTAGCTCAATTACAATGTTGTTTAAAAAAATCGTCAAAATGGGCAAAATTCTGCATTTTGCCCTATTCCGGGGGGTAGTTTTTGGCCGTGCGCAACCCTTAAAAATTTTTCTAGAATTTTTTTCTTTAGTGCAATCTTATTTTTATGAGTGGGGTCAACGATTTAGAGGGTACCATCATCAAAATTCGGAGGTGACCCTCAAAGTGGGACACCCTATTGAGCGCTTCCTTTCCCAAAAGTACAAAAGTTAGAGGGGGGGAGGGGACTTTTCGAACACCCTGTATCTTATCGGTTGCCAAAAGCGATTTTCCAAACTACGAAAGGAAATGAAGTATATAGGTACAGGAAAATGGAAAATTGATAATAATTTCCCAGAATTATTGAGAAAGTCAATGATAATGACGCTGATTAGATTTCTCGAGGAAGTCAATTACCTATGTAGGTATTTTTCAAATCCGGCAATGACACCTGTAAATTTAAGTTCATCCTGAAATTTCAGAAAAAATGAGTGCTTTCACTAAAATTACTTTTTTTATTTTTCTGTTACTGCTCAGGAGAATGCTGAGGCATTAAAAACATGGGCATAAAATAAAACTAAAAAAGCAAAGGCTCATTGTACAATGATGTTAAGAAAAATGACTTCTACGCAAGAATGAAGGTAATCCTCAAATTAAAGAAACTGTCAGTAAGACTAACACTCTACCATTTTCCTCTAAATATAATTGTTAGCAGAAATATAAAGTAAAGAAGTGTTTTATTTGTTTTATTTTCTCATTGGAAAAAAGGCATTGGGAACAAAAAAAATTACAATTTAAAATTCCATGTATTTAGAAAACATCAGCGTGCATATACAGATGGCAATAAAACACGTAATTTCTCTCAATATAGGACTAAACTTTAATCCTTATCTAAATTATAATAGCACTCTGTAATGCGCGAACGATCATTGCATTATTTCATGAGCATACAATTGACATCAAATGACATCGATACGGAAACAATAATTTTTTCAGCTTTATACTGCTGAGTGTACGACTGGTTCAGTGTCAGTGTAATGCTAGCATTACACTAATGAGTGTATAACTATGTAATGAGTGTTTACCAGTCACGGCCACCAGATGGCGCCGTACTCTTCAATGTGCGATTTCCGTTTTCTCTGGGCCCAAGCCTGCCTCGGATGAATGGTTTTTGTCTCGTTATTCTTCTCACTTGTTAAGGTGTTTATGATTTACTTCTAGAGATTTCACTTGTCTTTTAATATTTATATTTGATAAGTTAGAAGCGGTTAAAAGTTGCACTCTCTTTTTCACAGCCTCATATCAATATACTTGGGCATACCCGAGAAATCTGACTCCCCAATAGTTGCAATGGTACCGTTAACAAGCCCACGTAGCACAGAATATCGATATAATACTACAATAGTACTGACACGTCAGTAGTGTCAGTATTTATATAATGCTGATGTATCCTGATTTAATATTACATCAAGACTATGCCAGTATTTATTAGTTACTGATTTGGAGCTGTCAAAATATTGTTACAGTATTGGCCGAAAAGGTTGATGTCATATGGAAATCAGGGTTATGACAAGGTCATCAGAACACTGCAGGACACCGACAATATGTATGCATTACTACCTTGACACTGACACGTCTGTACACTCTGCGCACTCTGTCAAGTAGATATGAAAGTTCAGACGATGACCGTCATTTTCATAGTACTACACACGTATTACATTTGAAACATGAATTACACAAGTATACAAGTATTGAATATTATAAACCACTTACTTGATGTCCTGCGACGTTTAGTAGCGTAAAATATCCGGACGCCCTCGGGTGGATTTGAACCCGAACCGCGGAATTTCTAGCTCAGTACTCTGCCATTGAGCCACAGGGAGCTGATGGTGTTTCGGGTTAAAATCACGCCTGTTAAGGCTGTTATAGCATGCATAGCATCAGTGCGCGGCTCGACTTTCATCATAACTTTGATTAACACCGTGTTTTCTTAGGCTTCTTTTTCTTCCTATATTTTTTTTCATTTTTTCGTGTTAATTTCTTTTCGTATTATTTTTTTTTTTTTTACCTCGTCAGCATTGACTCAATACTGTTGTTTGATATATTGAAGGTATCAGTGTTATATTCATGCTGACGCGGTATACCTTTTAACCGACAATCTTAATATCATACTGCATTAGTGTTGGTGATATCATGTCAACACCCAACAATATGTATCAGTATTGACATAAGATTCTGTGCTATGTGGGAGTATGAATACCGCGAAAGCCTCACCGTGGAATAAGGGCGCAAGGCGTCCCCGCCCTCTCGCCTAGGCTCAGCGCCATCCCCGCTGGGCCGTCCTTATAAGGACCTTATAAGGATGGCAGCGCATTGTAATTTAGGGATGTGCTAGCTGGCATAATTCTAAAGCGCACATAATTAGTGAAGTGTCAAGATAATACTCCTGAGTGTAGAATCAGTATAATGCCAGTGTAATGCTAGCATTACACTCGTGAGTGTATAGCTGATATAATGCTAGCTATTGTATACTCGAGAGTGTATAACTAGTGTAATGCTAGCATAATGCAATTCTGTGTGCAAATCACATTATGCTAGCTATACACTCACGAGTGTAATGCTAGCATTACACTCATTTTTAGCAGGGAGGAACAATGGGTATGAATCTCAAACAGAGTAGGTAACCTACATAACCTCCAATTAACCAACAAAAACATACCGCCAACGCGACGCCACCGTGTATTCTTCCACTACGCATTCCGCCACCATATTGATCATGACGCGTACATTCGAAACCTACGAGCGCGCAGTTCAAACGCCGTTTTAGGCCACCCCAATTTTTGGTACTTTCAAATAAACTTTTCTCCCGTTTGCAGTCATCAAAAAAAAAAAAAAAAAAAAATTTAGAAAAAAACTGTAAGCTTCGGTCACTCACCACTTTCGAATGACATAATAAAAAAAAATGACTGAACTGACTCATTGCGACTCGAGAAGAGGAAAACCTCGAAACCTGCGCGTGTGCCTAAATATGGAGAGCGACGTGATTAATGATTCTGTTGATATGATGATCTCAGGACTTCTCCCTCTGCTTGCCCTGCATTCTGAATGTTGATGATTTTCGTTTCAACCGGTGTTCAGTTTCCCGATTGTCTTAATTATACGAGATAATAGAAGTAGGAACACCTAAGTAGGTACTTGAGTATGACGAACCTGAGCTGCATGACATGCAATTGTGTGGGTCAATTTTTAGGATCAAGAAATTGTAGGTCCCAAGTATCAGAGATCGCGATACATACCGATTTTATCGGTGGCAATGTATCGTAATATTATCGAATGAAAAATTGCGATTTATTGCGATTTATGGCGATTAAATCGCTATGCATCGCAATTTTTGTTCGATAAAATCCCGATCAATTTTCGTCGATAAAATCGACATTAAATCGCCGTATATCGCGATTTTTGTTTCGATAATATATCGCGATAAATTGCCGGGGAATAAAATTGCGATTATATTGCAACAAGATCGAGGATAATCGCTCAGATGTGGAAGATCCTAGCGATTTTATCGCCGATAAAATCGCAATATATCGCGATTTTTCCGTTGAAAAATGCTACTTCGGGTGCTGGGCACCTATTGTATTCTGTACGATTAAGACGTGGAGTAAAACGCATTGTGATATTGCTGATCGGTGCACAACTTCGTGCATTTTTTTTTTTTTTTTTGAGCTACGGCCACGGTACGTTCCTATGGGCTTGGCTCAGCATTTTTGCTTCAAAGTAGCTGAGACAATAAGACGCAATGAAGTCACTCTGGGACGATATAGATGCGCAAATCAAAGTTCATCAAGGTCAACCCATTTATCGCCACTGATGTTAAACCAGCGAATTTTCCATTCTACTTAAACTGATGAGTGTGCGTAACGCATACGAGTGGAAGATTGTTTATTTCTCCAGTACCTAGCTGGGTAGGTAGGTATATATCCATACCTAGGCGGAGGGACAGTCATGGTTTATTTAAAAGAAAGTGGGAAAGACGCGAGGCTCTCACGCCATCCACGGGTTCGCTGTGCCCTCCTCCTTTCCCCTCCGGTAAGTCACCCGAAAGCAAACTTCTCTTCTTTAAAACTCCAGGCCTAGCTTGACACCCCCCTCCCCCACCCACAGCCAAAAAAAGAAGTAAACCAGAAAAATTATTGAACTGTCCAAAAAACGCTTCTTGTCCAAAATACTTGAGTGGATCATCACAAAAAATTCCTATTTAATAATTATATTTTTGGGGATTTGGATTTTTCCCCATTTTTTCGAAATTTTCGGCAGATTTTGGCGATTTTCAAGTTCGGAACCTCAGGCACATTGGACCAGACGACCACAGATTTGAATTCTCCGCAAAAAATTACGCAGGCACTTCAGCCAACTTGCACTCAGCAGCGAATTTCTCAACAAAAAACTGACCCGGAAGTACGTGTTTCCTCAAAATTTTCGGAGAAGGTCGTATTTTGGGTGTAGCTCAAGCTCGTGACACTACCATTTTCACAATAACACGCTAGAGGTAAGCTCTTTTGATATTATCTGGGACTTGAAGTGGTATTCGGATGAGCGGAGGGCAAATCCTGCTCAGAAACAAATGGAAAAATGCATCAAAATAACGTTGGAGGTGATTTGTTGCGGAAGGAATATGCCTTCTCGGTAACTTTAACTTAAACTTAATCTTTGTAGTTTTTCACGATATTTCCATTTTTGCCGTTAAAATTGACATTGGAGCAGTTTTATTGGGGGGGGGGTGCATTTTCCACCAGTTTTTACTTGCGGTTTTCGCGTTCGAAACTTCAGTTAATGAAGCAAACGACCACAGATTTGACTTTTCCGTGAGAAACGTACGTAGATTTTATGGGTGTGGTAGTACAGTGGACGCTCGACAATTCGAAACTGGAGAAACCGAGGATTTCCTTCGAATTGCCCTGCTAAAAATGAACATTTTGGTAACAAGTTGGTCTGGCCCAACATGGTAGCAACATGGTGAATGGAACCTGATATCAACATGTTATCACCATGATATCAACATGTTACCAATATGATATCACACACTGAAAAAAAAAATTCCAAAATGCCAAAATGCTTAAATTTAGGCGCGCTGCATGTTCGATGGCGGCGCCGAAGCCGACCTGCTTACTACCGCCACGCCGTCGTTGTTAACATCACGATTTCTCGTTTGAGGTTAAGTAAGTTCTGTGTGAATGTTTCATATCCTAGATACATCTGTATCGCATTTTGATTGAAAAGCTTAGAGAATTAGGAACAATGGGTATGAATCTCAAACAGAGTAGGTAACCTACATAACCTCCAATAACCAACAAAAACATACCGCCAACGCGACGCCACCGTGTATTCTTCCACTACGCATTCCGCCGCCATATTGATCGTGACAGGTAGGTACATTCGAAACCTACGAGCGCGCAGTTCAAACGCCGTTTTAAGCCACCCTAATTTTTGGCACTTTCAAATAAACTTTTCTCCCGTTTGCAGTCATCAAAAAAAAATTAGAAAAAAACCGTAAGCTTCGGTCACTTACTACTTTTGAATGACACCATGAAAAAAATGACTCGACTGACTCATTCTCTGTTATTTCTACTAATTCCAATCACACGGGATTTTCTGGCACACATATCAATCAACAGAGTTTAGATAAATTATTTTTGATGCAGAATAACTTTCTGCGTCAGACACATACCTAGGTACTCGGAATACATCATTGAACTAAACCTCTGTTTCCTAGCAGGCAGAGAAGAGCAGAAAATCTCAACTCAGTCCCTGTCACACATCTGATGTTCCGCAATTCAAACGGGCTGTAGGGTGTTGGAAACGGAAGATAACCTATCTACTTAAAGTTGACATTTTTAGAATGTATATGGACCTTCTACTTTTTATTTCTTTAGTTCGCTTTGACAATACTGACAATTTTCCCGTCGTGAGACGAGGTAGAAGGCTTGTCACAAAGGTTTCATCTCAACTCAATCCCCTACTTTTTGCTTCATACGGGAGCCACCGGGGGCGCTGTTTGTAAAAAACAAGCGGTTGTTGTTATTCAGTTTCAGTATGATCCTTTAGCCTCGCCTGATAATACGTGCAATCGCTGTGATAACTGACAAGAACGTGTTTAGATAGGTAGGGTAGGTAGGTACTCTTTTTTAAGTGTGAACGTTAAAATCATCCTGAGCCAGCTCAACTCAGTCCCTGCATTATTATAAGGAAAACTTCAACAAAATTCAACTATTTTTAGATATTTAACATAATACTTAGTCCTAATCAAGGAGCACGCTTTGTTTCGGTGTAAAACAGGACCTCAAATTTCTCCCATCAAAACAAGCAGAATTCTCAACTCAGTCCCCGTTTTCTCAATTCTGTTTCCTAATTAGTGTAGGGTCATTCCACGTCAACTGTGCCAGGCTCGGAACCTGACCCCCTCCGATTTGGCTGAAAATTGGTATACGGGGTCTTTACATCATTATAAGAAACTTGTTTGAAGGGTTTTCCCATCTGACGCCCCGTTCGCGAGATATCCCGATAAAGATGGGGTGAATTTTAGTGATATTAAAAAACGCCCGTTTTAGCGATTCTCATTTTCTCGACTTCCCTCTCTTTGACTCTCCATAGCGAGACTCGGTATCAACTCATCATACTTTATAAGAATGTTTCTTAACCAATTTTTCATGTAGATTCTAAATATGCCATCGAAATTAAGCTAAAAATTATTCTAATGGCCGTAATTTAGGGTTTTTTGAAATTTACGACTTTTTTGCCATTCAATGTTCAAACTGAATTATCTAAAAAACTGTCTCTCAGATTTTCGATTTTTTTTTTACTTCAATCTTAGGATATATACTTTTGGTTTATATACTTTTTTAAATGGCTATCGGACGGTTAAAGGCCTAAAAAAATTCAAATAGGCCATAAAAGGTAAAAAATGGTAAAAAAAGACGAATTTTTACATGTTAATCCAAATCTTTCGATACTAAACTCTTCAATTATCGATATTTTTTCTTTTTTTACCCTCGAATATGTATAAAATCAGACTATCAACGCTTTCCATACATCTACCGACCGATTAACGGCCTGATGGAAACCGGAAACAGACCGAAAATCCTCGAAATTGATGCAAAAAGACGATTTTTCACACGGTTACCGATGCATTCCATGGATTTCAACCGCAATTTCCAATTTTCTCTCTCTATTTCAACCTTAAAGTATATACTTACGAGTAATAAACACTTACTGACGTGCATCGATGGGGCACGGATATAAACGGAAATTAAAACCGGCCGGAAATGCTCAAAAATGACGGCGAAAAACGATTTTTTACACGGGAACCGATGCATCTCCTGATTAGTCACTGCAATTTTCATTTTTTTTTCTTCTCTTCTTCGAAATCGAGGTGTACTTTTGAAAAGCTTACATTACACATTTTAGGCCATTTTTGCCAAATTTGGCAACTTTCCGGTCCGAATTTAATGGCGCAAAGTTGAAATTCGGATTCAGCGTCAAACATTACATAGGAATCGATGAAAACATTGCTACCCGGGATTTTTGCAGGCTACAGCCCCTTTCATGGCTTATTTGCCTGGACTATTACGACAAACGGATATACAGGGTGTCCCAAAAGTCCGTACCCCCCTCCCCCCCGGTAACTTTTGAATGGTTAGCGATGGAATAACGAAACTTTGGGAATGTTTCTATCTCAAAGGGGACCATCTTCGAGGAGGGGCAAAATGTTTGTCCCTCCCTCACTGGAGGCGGGGGGCACCCAACTTTTTTATTTTCAAATGGTAACCCCTATCTTGTGTTACTTCATTGAAAGAACATAAGAAACAAATAATTTTGGCGCAAACCGCAGATCAATATTTTAACTTTTGTCCGATTTATGATAGGTCAAAGGTTAAATTTGACTTCTTTTCAAAAAATCATAACTCCGGTTCAAATTATCGTAGAGAAGAAATTAAAACGGGAAAATTTACCAAATTGTGAGCACGTTTCAGTAAAAATCACAGAAATCACTTCAAACTAATTTTAAGGGGGGTTTGGAACCCCAAATACGTCAGTTCAAAGGTCATACAATTTTCCCGCAAAATGAGCTAATTTTCCCTTATTTTGCCTCAACATTATCACGGTAAGTTCAAAATTAGTTCAACATTGCGTTTTCAAGTTTGCGTTTCAGTTTATTTTGCGCAAAGTTAAAAAAAAGGAATTAAAACGATTACATTTAATCACCTTACCTAAAGTTCTTTTTTTTGTTTTTTTGTTTTTTTTTTAACTTTGCACTAAAGGTTACTTGGAAACGCAATGTTGAACTTATTTTGAACTTACCGAGATAATGTTGAGTCTAAGTAAGGGAAAAGTGGCTCATTTCATAGAAAAATCGTATGACCTTTGAACTGACGTACTTGGGAGTCCGACCCCCCCCCCCCCCCCCCCCCCCCC